TCAACAGACATCTGTAAATATCTAGCACTGTAGAATACTAGTTTAATCAAGAAATTCTGTTGCTAATTTTATGCCCCAAATATTCTCACACATAGGAGGTCATATGCAAGAATGATCATTTTAGCATTATTTGCAACAATAAAAAATTTGGAAACAACCTTAACATCTATTAATAAGAGAACATACATGTATTGTGGTGTAGTAGAACAATATATTTAATATGAATGACCTAGCTCTACATACAAACATGTATTAATATAAAAGAATTAATTTGAGGCAAAAATGGTATATTGAAGGAACAAAAGGTATGAAACACTTTACATAAAATTTACAAAATTGCACAACAGTATATATGGATTATGGAATCAAATTTTTGTAGTAAAAGGGTAAAAAACTGTATGAGAATCATCATCAAGGAATGTCATTAAAGTAATGGTTATTTTTCAAGTGTATGGAATCCCAGAGGGAACAGAAAAATTCAACTAGATCTGTAATGTTTTATTTCTTAAAAAAAAAAATAATCTGAAGCAAATGGACAAAATGTTAAGACTTGACAATGCTAAGTGGTTGTTACAAGGGTGTTTGTTATATTAGTCTCTCTTTTTTTGCATGCTTAAATTATTTCATGATATAAAAAGAGAAAACTCAATTGGCATTTAGTTCTCTACTCATATAGCAAATGAGTTATTTTTTGTGAAAATAAAGATATAATAAGTCTGAGACAAATCTTATAGCTACTGTGACTACTAAATATGTACTAAATATCCAGATATGTGCTTCACATTTCACAGACATATTAGGAGGTAACAGTCTGAGTTAATACTCTCACATGTCACTGGGGACCCTATGCTGTCCTCTTTCAGATTAAGATGTTACTACTTATTCTAAGTAGGATGTATGCTTTGACATGCTTTTCTAGAAAGTGGCATGGACTCCTTTCAGGATAAAGCTACACAATCTGCTGCAAAGCAATCTAGTTTCCTTTTTCCTAAATTAATTGTAACTTTTGGTGATTGAAACAGCAACTGTAGCATCTTTAAAAACAAGATGAACTACTTATTTGTTCCTACCCATGACAGGAGACTGTCTGCATTAGCCAGGTTTCGGGAGGGCTCTGAATAGAAGTTAGGGAAATTGATGGACCCACTATGGGAAGATTTACAGACTGCAGAAGAAGTCTTGAAACACAGAATAAGAGAGAGCTACAGAAGGTGCCAAACAATTGTGCCTCACCATCACACCAAGTCAGTGGCATTCAAACTGCTTTGATGGTGATCCACACCATGGGTTCTTACATATAAATCTACAACCAAAAGAAAAGTTGCTCAAAATGACATGTACCTTACATTGACTGATGCATTCTGATATTTTCCACTCTAATATCTCATATATCATTTTTAAAAATGCCTGTCACAATCTCCCCTATAGATTTCACAGTCCCTGATAATGAACACTAAAAAGTTGTTCAAAAATTATTTCCCTGGCTGTTGGGTTCAAAAGTCCTATATTACATTCACATATTAAATTAATTCAGAAATCTTATTCTACTCCCTAAAATATTCTCATCAATGGAAAATACTGTTTTTAAATTAAAAATGAAACATTATAAGTACCTATGTAAGAGAACATTGAAGCAGATTTTAATTCTTTGTCTACTTTCTATCTTATCTCCACACATCCTCAAATTTGACTGCCTAGAAAAAACAACAGCAAAAAAAAAAAAAAACTAGTCAAATTATGAACTTTATTGGATAGACAAGGCGAAAAACGATCAAGACTTAAGGGCATAGAATAACACTTTACTTATTTTAAATGAAGTGGCAGCAAACCAAATCCAGAAATTTACCAAAAATTTAGCTTTTTGGAAAAAAGATAGGGCAATAATAAGATAAACAGTTTTGATTGAAATAGCATTAAGCTCCATGCTTTAAAAGACTGTAGGCACCTGTAGGTAATACCATGGATTTTCCTTAGTTTAGGTCCCTTTTCCTCAGGGTGTAAATTTTTGTCAATTCTTTATGGCTACCTTCAGCCCCATCATGTCCTAACCTCCAATTTATTTCCACTAAACTATGGAGAATCAAAGTAACTTAATAAATAAAACATATTCACCAAATAATTGGAGAACTGCCTTCCAGGATAGACTTGAAGGATTACATACACTTGATTCACTGTTTGCTGAATTTACCTCTCAGAATGACTCTACTGTTTCCTATAGAAGTTTCTCAACAACCTACCACGTCTTCCTCAAACT